ACATACAATCAGTTCTCAGCCTCACTTAAGCTTTCTTAAATTTTCTCACCGGATTCGCCGCTGAATTTGAAGAGTGATTGAGGAAACGCTAGATTCAAAAATACAGAGGCATATCAACTTTTTTACCCCATTTGTCTTAGCAAACTCGCTAGTAAGCTTCATTGAGCTTGAACGTTTATGTTAAAGAAAGCCACCAGAGAGGTAGTCTAATTGTCCTGGAAACACAGACCGAGCTTTCGGCTAAATGTCCTTGAGTAGCAGCAATCTAATGTTCGACATGCAATTTCACAAAGTCATAACTACATGAGAAACTTCATTTTAATAAGCGCCGGTGACTGAATTATCATTTACGAGGGCTGCGTAGTAGGAGTACCAACTCCCTAAAAGGATGGAGAAGAATCAAAATTTGCCTGCAATTTACCCAGAACCGCCAGTTAGAAGCAAGTCAGCAGAGGCTCTTCGCTAGTAGGGAGTCAAATCGGTACTTCCTCAGATAAACGTATGCAAAGTATGTAGGGAACTGCAATTTGAGATAAATACTACGCCACTTAAACTGAATGAATGATTTTCTTTTCTCTTGCTTGGTTCTATTTGCACATAGCATTGACTTCGTTTCTGCGGCTGCAAAACTTCACACATTTCCGCTGGGAGACCTAAGTGATAAAGTTCATCTCTTTGAAGATGATGTGATGAAACAATCAAACATCCAAGTCATTCAGGATGTATCGTTTGTTCCCCAGCAAGGTTCCCATAGATTCCACATCATCTCGCTGCCTTTCGCTCTTTTGAACATGATAACCTCGGGCAGTTCCGTTGAAATCTTAGGAGAAACGTGTCAAAAAGAACGAAAGGCACGTCGCACTGCGTACGCACGCTGGCTCATATGGGGACTTTTCTGGGGCACAAAAGGTATGCAAGAACTTCATACTTTTTAGTCAGTCTAGGCGAAATCACTGTACGTTTCCGTCTAACAAAATGTGAGATCGAATACATCACATTTTGTGCAGAATAGCTCTCCCATGCTTTTTATATTTGAAAGATTTTCACAGCTCAGTGGAATCCAAACCGCTACCCCGTCGTTCCCTACCTGTGGATAATGCAGCTTGC